GCCTCGACAACACAAGCCAAAGCAGAACTTAGACCAGTGGGTGAAGAGACCAGTTCTGTCGACAGCAGCCTGGGGATGGGGTGCTGGACCACCTCCCAAGGCAACTAGGACTGGTCCTGACATACACACCTCTTTGTGCTTCCCTGCAGGAATTCTGTGGAAAGTGTTTTGAGTTGCCTCAGTGAGATAATAGTAATCTAGTGAAATTTAAAGTCCACATCTTTTGGGCTAGGAATGTGGCTCAAGCAGTAGCACGCTCGCCTGGCATGTGTGCGGCCCGAGTTCGATCCTCAACACCACATACAAACAAAGATGTTGTGTCTGCCAAAAACTTAATAAATATTAAAATTCAAAAAATAAAAATAAAGTGCATATCTTTTGACCCAGTAATTTCAGGTCTAGAGATTTATAAGTAAATGAAGCTATGCAACTGTACAGGTGCTTACAAATGCATTGTTTAAAAACAGAAATCAGGGGTGGGGGTACAGCTCAGAGTAGTTACTTGCCTAGTATATGCACGGCCCTGGGCTTGCCCCCAGCATCACACACACATACACAACATATAGAAAATCTACACCTAACTTCAGTGCCCGTCATTTTAGCCAGCTGAATGTTTGATGTACAGCCATGCAGCAGACCATGTCTCTTTTTTTAAAATGAAAGGGGTGAGAGCTGAGCACAGTGGCATACACCTGCAATCCCAGCTTCTGGGGAAGCCGAAGCAGGAGGCAGCCAATTTAGGGCCTGTCTCAGAAAGACATTAAAAATTGGTAAGGGGTTGGGGTTGTGGCTCAGTGGTAGAGTGCTTGCCTAGCATGCCTGAGGCACTGAGTTCAATCCTCAGCACCACATAAATGTAAACTAAAGAGATTGTATCCACTTAAAAGTAAAAAATAAATATTGAAATTGAAAAAAAATTGGTAAAATTTGATCATCTGACTTCAGGAACAAGAGTTTTATAGATGAATAATACATATATTCATAACTTAATTTTATTCTCAACAAATGAGGGTTTCTGAAACAAATCTTATGATGTTTGTTTTCAGAAAAAGTCTGCCCAGAAAGTGCTTAATTTTACTGATATTTACTGGATTTAAAAGCAAATGTGGAGGGGCTGGAGTTGTGGCTCAGTGGTAGAGCGCTCACCTGGTATGGGCAAGGCCCTGGGTTTGATAAAGGTATTGTGTCCAACTACAAGTAAAAACAATAACAACAACAACAACAACAAAAAAGTGAATGTGGAGCCAGGCACAGTGTGGCACATGCCTATAATCCCAGTGGCTCCGGAGGCTGAGGCAGGAAGATCACGAGTTCAAAGCCAGCCTTAGCAATGGCAAGGCGCTAAGAAACTCAGTGAGACCCTTTCTCTAAATAAAATCAAAATAGGACTGGGGATGTGGCTCAGTGGCAGAGTCCCCAGAGTTCAATCCCTGGTAGCACCCTCACCCCCCCAAAAAAAATCAATGTGGGGACTGGGGTCATGGCTCAGTGGTAGAGCACTTGCTTACCATGTGTGAGGCACTGGGTTCAATCCTCAGCAAAAATAAATAAAGGTATTGTGTCCCTCTACAACTAAAAATATAATAATAAAAAAAAAGTGATGGGATTCTGAGGTCCACTCCATGAAAACGGCTTCTTAGCTGGGTGCAGCGGAGCATGCCTCTGACCCCAGGTGAGTTCAAGGCCAGGCCTGGTCTAATCAGGGGTGCAGGTGGGGCTGGCCACACAGCTCCCTAGGAGTCCTGCAGCCAGGAGGGCAGTCTGCGAGTCCCAGTGGGTGTTCTCCAAACATGATCCGAGGGCCAAGATGACCTTCTGTAGTCACACAGCGGCTCACCTCTGGTCACACTGAACTTCCAGGTCCACCTGCATCTCACCCACTAGGCTGCCTTTCTGAAGCTCTATGGGTAAAGCTGGTGTCCCTCAATTCTTGAAAAACACACCCACACCTGGAATGGGACAGACTGGAATTCAGCTGTGAATACAGAGGCCTGTGTACACCCAGGGCACCCTGCAGCCTCTCATGCTCATGGGTGCCCCACTCCTCCCATCTCTTGAGTCTGCCCCTCAGGCCAGCATGTATTCGTTGGGTCCCCCAGTCCATGACCGGCAGCTGCAGCCCTGTCCCTCGCAGCCACTCCAGTGAGGCGGTGGTAGGGCGCCAGATGGCATTGTTTCTCCAAGGACTGATGATGCCCGTCACCTCTCCATGGGCATATGGTAGGCAGGACAGCAAGGGCTCTCAGTCACGTGCCCAGGATCAAAGAAAGATGCCAAGTCTGGGCAGGGGGTTTTGTGGGGGCAGCTGGAGAGGTGAGAGAGTGGAGGCCCTTCTCCCACCCTGATGTCCCATGGCTGTGCCAAGTCCACAGGAGCACTTAGGACTCACTGCTCCTGCTGGGAAGCCGGCAGCCCCTGGCCACCCTTTCTAACCTCACGTGGGGCCTGGCACCTGGCCACGCACTTCACTCACTCTCCACTCCCCCAGCCCCTGTGAAGTCGGTGGTCACCTCTCACTCTGCGGAGGGCAAGTGGAGGCTGGTGCTGGCCTACATGACAGGGCTGGGTCGCCAAGGCAGGCTGCCTAGGAAGGTCCCTCCTGGGGCAGTGCTGGAGTGGGGCTGGACACACTGGAGGGCGTGTGGGGAGCACGTCTGGTCTGGCTATCATCAGCTGGTGAAGCCCCCCAGCAGAGGTTGCCCCCCGGGGGTCCTACCTGCCCACTAGCCCCAGGAAGGTGTAGCTGGAGAACAGGCCTGGAGTTGCTGTGTGCAGCAGCCTGGGGACACCCTGCCAACACCAGACATCCAGACCAGGCAGGGGCTCTCCCGGCGTATGCTGGGGGGCACAGGTCTCGTCTCTGGAAGAAGCATTCCACAGCCCAGCCCAGCCCCCCGGCCTTTCCCTCACCAGGAACCCCTCAACATCTATCCCAGCAGCACCAGTGAGCCCGAGTGCAACCCCCGTTTCAGATCCACACTGGAGAACCTTCTCCTTTGCTCCTCTGTGGGGACTAGGGATGAACGTGGGGCTTGGGGCCTCTGGCAGGTTCCAAACTTTCCCAATGAGTGGCATGCCACCCGACGGAATCCTCTTTAATCAATACCAAAATAAATTCTTATCAACCCTGCTAAAGAATGGATCATTTTTCTATTCTCTTTATAAATAAAGACAATATCATTAGCTCAGCCCATGACACATACCTGTAATCCCAGAGACTCTGGAGGCAGAGGCAGGAAGGTCACAAGTTTGAGACCCACCAAGCCTCTGTTTCAAAATAAAAAAATCAAAAGGGCTGGAGGTGTAGCTCAGTGGTAGAACATCCCTGGGTTCAATCCCAAGCTCTAAAAAAAAGAAGTAAATACACTAACAAATAAATGGTGTCGCTAACTCACCTAGGTGCAGACGCGAAGGTGGAGCCGCCAGCCTAGGAGACCCCGCCAGCCTAGGAGACCCCGCTGAATGGCTGAGTGCGCGGTAGAGGTCCTTGGCTGCCTGGCACCAACAACCGCACCATTGCCCCAGCCCCCCGGTCTTCGGGGTCCCCTGCCTCTCTGGCCTCAGGATACTGCCAGGCCGGGGCTCTGCGCCGGGAACTGGCCACCCCAGAGCTGTCCTTAACCTCACCCACAGAACTGCTCCTTAAGGACTGGGGGTTGTGGCCCAGAAGTACAGCAGGTGCTCAGCGTGTGCCAGGCCCTGGGTTCCAGCAACCAGCACAAGAAATGAGTCAAGATGAAAATCATGAAACGAGAGGCAGCTGTTCCCTTTGACCCTCTCAGTCAAACTTAAGTTTGAGGGAGAAGTTTGGGATGGGCCAGAGATGCTATCCAAATCCCACTGCCTTCTGGGAGTTCTTGGGGGAACCACGTAATCCCTCTCTGAAAACAGGTTTTAAAAATGCACAGAGCCACAATCTTCCATCATCCCCAGAAAGGCCCCCATCTTAGAGGCCAGTCCCTCCGTGGCAGCTGCTGGCTGCACTGTGATGGCACTAGGAAGGTCCCTGCCCTGCCTCCTTCTGGGGGGAGGCAGGACTCCCCACTGCACCTGCACCAGGAGGCTGCCCAGTTCAGGTGTGGCAAGGGAGGGGACCCATGCTGCAGCCCAGCCAAGTGGGCTCCACACTCAGGCCCTTTTCAACTGTTTATTCCACATCAGTTACTTCAGGGGTGGACACTCGACTGTATAGAGATTGAAAGCAAAAAATACAGTTTAACCTGTGTCAGGCACCCACCTAGACAGGCACGTGGCACAACACACACAGGATGAAGGCAGCCTAACGTGTGGAAGCGTCACACACGTTAAGGAAACTCAAGTGCTGCATAAGGCCATCTGTGGGCCTCTCAGCACCTCCACCGCCAGGATGAGCCCAGTGCAGCATCCGGGATTCTGAGAGCAGTCCTCTTTGGAGACACTGCTTTCTCCTTGTCCTTAAGGCGAGCTCACGGGGCAGTTCAGCCAGGGCTGAAAGGGACCATCAACAAGCAGAGGGCTTCGCTGTCCCACCTGCTGCAGGGCTGGGTGGGCCTCTGGCTCTCCCCCGGGCCCTGTGATGGTGCTGATGTTTTGGGGATGCTCCCATGTCCTCCCTCCCACCCCCCAACTCTGCTCCTGATGACGGTCACCCTCATCAGGCCTCTCCCCCTGCAGCAAGTCCAACTCAGACTGAATGCACAAGGTCAGGCCGGGCCTGAGGGGCCAGTGCGCAGGCCCCCAGCTGGCCACGTGTGGCCCCAGCAGGTGGTGGTGCTGCACTTTGGTGGCCCAGGAGCATGGCCCACTGGTGCCAGAACTCTCAGTCATTCTTAGAAAGTCTATGAGCGAAAGCAGGAGCCAAACCCGGCCAGGAGGTGGGGGCTGTGCTGCCTGCCCCAGGGGCCCTGCTGCTGCCACTTCTGCAGCGGCCATCGCCAAGGAATGCAGACTGCATGCTGGCCTGGACTCTTCACAGGACACCGCTTGGATGTTTTTTTAACCCTAAAAGACAGTTCGCCATCTTGGTTCTCGCTCTTTGGATTTTTCATACAACCTTAGGATAAAAGGACACGGCCTCCCCCCACGCTGTGTCGGGCAGCCAGCCAGGCTCAGCAAGCTGTTTCTTGGAGACCCACCCTCCAGCGCAGAGCAGCCCTCCTGTGGAGGGGCTGCCCCAGCTTCTTTCACCACCTAATGTCCAGGCTGCCCAAGCAGCGCACTGGGCTCGGGTGTGTGGCGTGCAGCACTTCCTGAGCACCAGGGGAGCCCAGCCACGCTTGGTACAGCTCCTGCAGGTGTGCACTGGTCTCTGGGGGCTGCACAGGGATGTCAGCGTAGATGCTCTCCATCTGCCGCAGCAGGGTCTTGTCTGAGTGCCCGTCCTCGGTCTGCGCTTGGCCTCTGCCACTCAAGCACCCTGAAAGGCACACACAGGCAACTGCTGCTTCCTGTGGGAAAGTCAGTCTCTGGGAGGCACTGGGAGACAGTCTGGGGCAGGCGAGGAGCGGGAGCGGAGCAGCTGCACACCCACACACTGTCTGCACTAGCACCTGGCTCCTGCTATCAGTGCTGCTTACTCTCTGGCCTGTACACCTGTCTTCATCAACAGTAGCAAAATTCACTTAATGAACCAGCAGTGAGCCAGGCGCGGTGGCTCATGCTTGTAATGCCAGCAGCTCAGGAGGCTGAAACAGGAGGATTGCAAGTTCAAAGCCAGCCTCAGCAACATTGAGGCACTAAGCAAAAGTGAGATTCTGTCTCTAAATATAATACAAACAGGGCTGGAGATGTGGCTCAGAGGCTAAGTACTCAATCCCTGGTACTCCCTTCCCACCCCCCCCCAAAAAAAGAACCAGTAGTGGCCAGGGTGCAGCTCTACGGTAGAGCACTTGCCTCACATGCACAAGGCGCTGGGCCCATCCCCAGCACCACCTCCAGCACAGCAAACCAGAAGCAAACTTCCTCAGGGCTAAACCTCACTCTCCACGAAGCAGGGCAGCAGGCAGCCCAACTTGTGGTCTCCACCGTCTGCACACATGGACCTCCACGGAGCACAGGACCCACCTCTGAAAGGCCCTGCCTCACTGGCCACCTGTCCCCACTCCTGCCCCCCGGCAAGCTCTGTGAGCTCTGCACTGACCCCCACACCAGCTCTCTACCCTCCACCCCGCCCTAACTCGAGCTGGTGTCCCTCCTGGCCCCTCCGGGTCACGGACAGTACACCGCCCTCTCCTGCCTGGCCTTCCCTAGCGTCTGTAGTCCTCGTGGGCTCACCCTGGGTCTCTCTAGGAACCCTGCTCTCGTGCACCCATGTTGCTTCACCCTGGGGACACAGACGTCCCTAGTTTCCAAGTCAGCACCCTGCAGAGTAGGTGGGCCATCATGGGCCAGGAGCTCTCTGTCCTCCTGACAGCCACACCTGCCTCAGGGACCCCTGTCCATCTGGCTCTGGTCTGCTCTGTGCCCTCACTGGGACCCTGTCATCACCTGCCTGTGTTACCCCTCAGGAAGCTCCTCAACCACAGGGCTCTCGTGAGCCCTCAGAGACGGCTCTCCTCAGCTCCGGGAAGCCTGTCCCCACAGCCTGGCAGAACACAGGCCACCACGTGAGCTGCTCTGACCTGGTGCACACCCCTCCCCAGGGAGCTCAGAAGGCCATGTGTAACTGCCCACTCCTCTCCCCCTGGTACTGGGGACTGAACCCAGGGGTACTGCACCACTGAGACGCACACCTAGCCCTTTGTATTTTACGCTGAGACAGCCAAGCTGTCCAGGCTGGCCCTGAACTTGAGCTCCTCCTGCCTCAGGTTCCAGAGTCCTGGGGAGACAGGTTTGGGTATGCCACGTGCCCAGCTTCCCTACATGACAGGGAGTGAGGACGAGAGAGCGAGCACAGCCAAGGCCATCATGGGGCCAGCACAGAGCCGAGGGGCTGGGGGCTGGGGGGCTGCCTGGGCGGGCTCTGCTCCGCAGCTCACCTCTGGGACATGCGAGGACCTCCACGAAGTGGTACGGGAACTTGCCCTTCTTGAGCTTTAGGATCATGTTCTGGATATTCCTAAAGCCGTAAGCAGCAGCGAAGCGTAACAGAACCTCCCCGTCCTTTTCCAGGGTGACCTCTTGGAAGTCTTTGTTTCTATAAAACAAATGACATGGATTTTGACTGCAGAATTGTCTTTCTGTGACTTGAGGGTCCTCTTCCAATCTAAATTGGGAATGTCAGCCCGATGAAGTTTGGGTCAACACACAAAAGGCCTTTTGGTGGACTGGCAAAGCCTCTCCCCCGCCACCCATGGCTGTGCCCAACTGCCCTGCTGCCCGCCCGCACCTCAGGGCGCGGTAGGTGATCTCCTCCACGTGCTCGTTGAACAGCTCCTTAGCCGCGTGTCTGAAGACGTGGGCCAGGTGCCCGTCGGAGCCGGCTCCCTCGTGGCGCCTCACTGTGGCCTCCTTCGTGTCTCCGAACCTCACCAGGCAGAGGGAGAGAAGTCCTCCTTAATGATAATGGGAAGCCACAGCGCAAGCCGGCCCGCCACCCCAGGGTCCCAGGCCCAAGGTCGCCACTGAAACCAACCACAGCCTCCGGAAACTTAGATCTGGGGAGTCACATTCTTAAGGAGTGCCAACAGTTGGCACCAAGTCTCCTCCTGCGCCTGGTCTGAAGCTGCAGGAGGGCTGTGCTTGTTGCTGGACCATTCATTCACTTCCCTCTCCAGTTGCATGAGCAATAGGAGGGACGAGGACCAAGCACCCAAGGGACACAAGAGCACATCTGCCTGTGCTGAGCCACAGCGAGAACGCTGGGTCATATCCGGCCTAGGTGCAGTCCCTGCCTGGCACTCAGGTTGAAATTCCATGAGCCTCAGTCCCATCTCCCGTAACAGACAACAGCTGGGAAGAGGGCAAGCAAACAGCCTTGCGACCCTGGCTGGCCACCAGGTGGAGACCAGCTGCTGTGTCCTGGGCAGCTCCAAGGGCCCTGAGGAACAGAAGCAGCAGTGCAGAGGCAGGTCTTGCAGCCCTGCATCTAGCCCGCCCCCCTCCTGGAGGGCTTGGTGTGCCCATCACACACAGAGGCCAACCCTGGCAGCCCAGAGTCCTGACCACTCCAGTTCAAGCCAGGAGGACGGCTGGGGGTGGTGATAGGGCCATGGGCAGCCCCATCTCAGGGCTCAGGCGCTCTAGTCACAGAGCAGTAAAGCCTGGGGCTAGCAGTGGCCCCGCCCAGAGACCCCCCCCTCCCCAGAAGCCACTTACAGGGTATCCACTGCAGCATCTTTCACAGAAAGGTCACTTTGCTCCATTATCTGAGCAACTTCACCTGCAGACAAACAAGAAGTCTGAGATATATGAGGACAGAGGGTCCAGTCCCTTGTGCTGTTCTTCCTTTGGGGGAGTCTGGACTAGAGACCCTGGACCCCTCAGCACAGAGCAGCAGCAGACTCGGGGAAAAACACAAACAACAGGCCAGGGTCTGAGCCTCCCTAAGCCTTGGCACCAAGGGCTTAGGGGTGGCTCCAAGTCATCTCCAGGTGGCATGCTTCTGCGCACAGCCAGCATGCACTGAGGTACCTCAAACCAGCTCACTCGCTCTTGTCTTTTTGGTGCGGGGGGATTGAGCAAGGAGTGCTTTACCACCAAGTCACATCCCCAGCCCCGATTCTATTTTTATTTTGAGATAGGGCCTCACTAAGTGAGGCTGGCCTCAAACTTGCAATCCTCTCCTCTCGCCTCAGTCTTCTGAATTGCTGGAATTAGAGGTGTGCGCCACCACACCCCGCTCTATGTTACTTCCTCATGAGGTGTCTGGTGGAAACAGAGCCCCTTAAACGGCTGCCAAGGTGTCAGGAACACAATATGCAGCATGAAGACCGCAAATGTGGTGCAGCTGCGTGCAGTGCTGTAAACCCAGCCGTACTCGGAGGCTGAGGCAGGAGGACCACAAGTTCAAGGCCAGCCTAGACAACTTAACAGGTCCCTGCAAGTAAGAAAGTGAAAGAAAGAAAGGAAGAAAATCAAAAGGACTGGGGATGTAGCTCAGTGCTAGCACATCCCAGGTTCAACCCCCTGTCTGTACACACACACACCCCAACAGGGCTGAGAGCTCAGTGGTGGAGTGCCTGCCTTCATGCTTGAGGCCCAGGGTTCCACCAAAATAAAAATTGCTCGATGTGGTTCTCTGTGCAGGCTCTACCTTTCCAGCATGAGCACATGGCCACTGGCCATTTGCTAAGGAAGTAGAGGACAGCACCACAGTGACGCTGAGTCCCTTCTGCCACGTCACTCCCACAGGGTGCACCCCAAAGGTGGAGACCTTCCTGTAGGGATTGGCTTGCTAGACTTCCTGGCCACGCCAAGAGGGGAACACCTACACTTCACGTTTTCCCTAAGAGCCTGCCACTCTGCCTGACCACACTGGCCTCCCACCTGGAGATCAGCCTCCACATGGGACTCCAGCCTCCTTCACGCTTCCCCAGGGACCTCAGTGGGCTTTCTTCCGGCCAGGAAAAAAGGAAAGGAACTGGTTCCCACAGAGGGCCTGCAGGCCTAGCAGCCACTGGTTTGGGAGACAATTCCTATCCCAGGCTGAGAACCTGCCTGCTCTGCTGGTGTGGGCAGCAGCACCCCTGGGCTCGTGGGCAGGCAGGACCCCTGGGCAGGGCCCTGCTATTTTCTTCGTGAGAGCTCCACTGTGCCGAGGGCAGACTTAGCAGCCTCCTGTGGTCAGGCAGGACTCCCTCAAGGGCAGCAGGTGACACAGGCCACAGCCACACTGCCCCAGGGGTTCTCCTAGAGACTTGAGTACTGGGGACATGGAGGAAGCAAGGTGGTACCGGCGCCAGCTCTCCCTTCTCAACCCCAGGGCCCTCAGCACTGGCCGATCAAAGAGCCAGCCAGGGTCCAGGCGCAGCCCTGCCCACCTCTCACCTGACGTTAGCACACAGTCAGCACCCTGGGCGCCAGGAGCAGCAGAGAGCCCCTCTCGCAGAGCCTCCAGCTTCTTGTCGTAGCAAGGGGCCACAACTACGTGGAAGATCTTCTCTGGGGCCAGGTTCTGTGGAGGAGAGTGCCTCACGCTGAGGGCTGCCCCCCCCCCACGTGGCCCCGGGGCTGCTGGCTCTGGGTCTGACCCCTGGCTCCAGCTCGCTCTCACCCCCTCCTGGTCTGCTCCAGCACTGCGCTGTACCTCTGCAGCCTCACCTGAAAGGAGCGGGTTCACAGAGAGAACCTGCAGGCCTAGCAGCCCAGGGAGCGGCCCTCCAGAACCAGGAGGGCAGAGCCTGCCTCCAGCACTGTGCACACAGGGCAGGACAGGAGGAACAGGCGTGTGCTCCGCCTGGCTTCCTGCAGCCTCCTGAGGCTGTCCCCTGGGGCCTTGGTGTGAGGAGCAGGTACCCACGGCTGGACCAGAACTCGGGTAATGCTGATGAGGCCCGGTTCAAAGGCCCTGCTGGAGGCAGGGGCGGAGCCTGAGAGGAAGCCTGCCTTGACCACAGCCCCACCAGGGGTTAGGGGAGAGGGGGCTGCAGGCCGGTTCCCCAGCAGGACCTGCAAGGGATCCACAGCTTTGGGATCAGCCAGGGGAGGGCAGGGCTGGCAGCAGGGGAGACAAACAGGGGCAGGGCAAGGGCAAGGCAGAAGGGCCCAGGGTGTGCTCTTCTGTGCCTCTGCAACTCTCACCCTGACACCTGTCAACTCTGGTGACCTTATGAAGCAAAGGTCCCCTGTGGCTGAAACCACAAGGCTGCCAGGAGAGTGGCTTTTCACAGCTGGCTTCCAGGGTCTGGAAGACCCTGTTATTGTCGTCTTAAGTTGCCATGACACCCGGTAGGACGGTGCCCCCCAGGAGGACAACAGTGCGGGAGCGGTGGCATGCAGCACACTGATCCATGGCTGGCCTCCAGACACCAGGGGAGGCAGGGGTGAAGGCGCCCCAGGCTGGGACTCGTGCTGCCTCACGGAGGACAGGGTCAAGCCCATGGCTGAATCTCACAAGGAGTCACGGGGCACCCGTGGTCTGAGGGGAAGCCAGGGCAGAAAGGAGGCTGGTTTCCTGAGTGACAGTGGTCCTCAGCCTCCAGGCACAATCCCCACCAGGCCTCCGTGGTGAGCCTGGCCCAGAAGTAAGGAGGCATCACCTAAAGTGTCTCTATTAGGGCCAAAATGGGTCCAGGAGAAAAAGAATAAGAAGAAAGGAAGAGATGATAACGAGAGACAGGCAGAGGTGGGCATTGGCAGAAAGGGTGACACGGGATCCTCACCAGGAGTTCACCTGGACCTAAGGGTCACCTCCCACCAACACGCTGCCCTCTGAAAGGACCAGCTTACCTGCTGTTTGGCAAAGTAGTCCTTCACCAAGGAGCCCATGACCTGCTGAGGGGACCTGGCAGCACACAGGTGGGGAGTCACAGGGTGTCCCAGCACCCGCTCAGCGTATCGGACCCAGCCTGGGGAGGAGAGTCCACAAGGTCAGCTGCAGCCTCGTCAGGGGTTCACACAGACTGCCCACCACGACCTGCCCTCCACAGCTCAGGCAGTGGGCTGGGAGTCCTCAAGGTTTGAGGGTGCTGGGAAGTGGGAAGCACCCCGTGGGCCTCCAACTGAGAGCAACAGTCAGGAGAAGGCAGAGCGGGGGCAGCAGGCCCCCCAGGAGTGAGAAGGAGACGCTCTGAGGAGCAACTCAGAACAGCCACCGGACCAAGCCTGCGAGGTTTGCCGTGCCCGGCTTGGAGTTCTTGCACCTGAGGCAAGTGGCCACGCACAGGTGGGAGAAGCCCAGCACTCTGTGCTGACCCTGCTGGAAATAAGCCCAAAGCCTGTCCACTGTTTAAATCAACAAAACAAGAAACTTAAGCCCCTGAGTGAATCATCAATAGCAAAGCAGGCACTGTGATCATTTCTTCTTCAGTTCAATGAACTTCTACCACCCCATGGACCGTGGCTGCTGTGGTGGTCTCTGGGAGTGGGCACAGGCCGGGGAGGTCAGCTGACCACACGGCCTACAGTTCTGCCTGCAGGATCCAAGGCTTGCTCCCCCAACACTGGGTGCAGCCTGGCAAGAGGCCCAGTATGCACACAAGAGCATGGGCACTGCTGGAGGGCACTGAAGCCCAGGACATTCACTGCCCCCATGCAGAGAAGGGCAGGCCCCTGGGCAGGCCTGCCAAGAGTGCGTGAGAGCCATCAAACTCAAACCTCAGGTGCCCCCACGACGCAGCCTCTACGCCCTCCAATCCGCGACAGGTGCATACAACAATTGTCCTGAAAAAGAACCACCTGCAGGGCAGTGTCTGGCAGGCCCGAGGGCCACCCCTGGACCCCAGCTCGAGAGGCACATGCCCAGGACGCAAGCTCTCAGCACTCCTGCACTCGTGTTGCTGGGTGAAGCTTTCCAGGCCTCGGACACTAAACAGGACCAAGCAAAGCCCCAGGAGGTCGGGCCCCCAAGGAGGTTTCCTGACCACCACTCGAGAGGTAGCAGGGGAGACAGGCTGTTAGGAGCAGCAGATCCTCAGAGGCACCCCTCATGTGTGAAGCCCTGAGTCTCCACACATGGGGGTCTAGCCACTGGGACTTAAGTCAGGAAACATTTCGGGAACAGCCCTCGGCCAGCCAAGGCCCAATTCCAGGGAGAAGCAAAGCCAGCAATCTTGGCGTTGCCTCAGCCTTCCTGTCAGCAAGAAATCACAGAGAAGTTCTGGTTTTGAGGCAGAGCACACCAAATCATCTCCTTGGACTGTGGAGGTGCTGTCAACCTGAGCCATGATGGTTACAGTTCTGACACATGAGAAAACCGTCACTAACCAGGAAGAGCATTCCAGAACCCAGACTAGGAAGTCAACAGTCGGATACATTGAACACAGCAAGCCTCAAGCTAAGATGGGTAGCCAAGGACTGGTCTGCAGCAGGTGACGCCAGCAAGAAAGGGCTCAAGGACACTGCTCGAGGAGAGCCTGGCGCCTCGTCCAGCACTGCCAGCTGAGGACACAGAGGGCTTGCTGGCCTCTGCACCTATCAGGAGCTTTTCTAGGGAGTCATCCCAGGCTCTTCCCCAGGCCTCCACACAAGGAATCAAGAGGCACCTGTTGGCTCGGGGCTGGCCAAGAGCACAAAGCTGTTCTCCCTGCTGACAGGAACCAAGGGCCACCCCGGGGTCTCCTTCTCTGATTGGGGTAGAACTGACCCACACACAGAGGACACAGGGCACCTCAGGTTTATGGGTGGTCAGCTGCTGAGTCTCCAGTGCAGCTTCCTGGGTGGGGACTTCCTCTTCCCGGCTTTAGCAGAGGCAGATGCCCCTCCACACTCTAAGCAAACTCCAGGCCAACCCCACCTGCTTTACCAAATCACAGCCCTGAGGGTGCACGCTGCCGGAAGACCCCGCACAATGAGAGGCCAGCTGGGCCCCACACTTGGCCACTTCTGAAATGGCACCGCCCACGCCCAGGTAGACAGCAGGCTGCCATGCTGGCAGACCCATGGGCGTGGAGCACCTTCGCCTGAAGGTCGCTGGCCACTGCTCCTACCAGGGCTTCATCCCTGCTAATGATGAAAATTTAACAGGGGAGGAGAAAATGCTCATTTTGTCCAGAATTGAAAAACTGTGATAAATGACACCTGCCATGGTTTGCATGTCCCCATCAAAACTCAGGCTGAAGCCCACCCACCATGGGGTATCCAGACAGGTGAACTGTGTCCACCTGGTGTCTGGAGGGGGCCCTGAGCTTGGAGCTGCCCCTCTCCTGCCCGGACAGGGCAAGATCTCCCCAAGCAGGGCCTGCTCCTGAGCCCCAGCGTCAGTACAGCAGGGAGTGGGCCAAGACAGTACCTAGGTGTTGACTCCACGCTCAACTAACCGAACAATAGCTGAAAGTGCTCCCCAACAGAACCTGAGAATCAGTGTCAGGAACTGTTCTATCCTACGATTTTCTTTAAAGCTGGGAAAAGATAAATGTTTGTCATGTCATCTGTAATTGTTTGATAATTAGATTATCTGAAATAATTTTAAGAATATAATTGATTTTTATTAAAACACAGTATGCTTGCCCCACAAATCTTACAAATGTATAAATGAAAATAAATTAAGGGGGCTGGGGATGTGGCTCAAGCGGTAGTGCGCTCGCCTGGCATGCGTGCGGCCCGGGTTTGATCCTCAGCACCACATACCAACAAAGATGTTGTGTCCACCGAAAACTAAAAAATGAATATTAAAATATTCTCTCTCTCTCTCTCTCTCTCTCTCTCTCTCTCTCTCTCTCTCTCTCTCTCTTTAAAAAAAAAAAAAAAAAGAAAGAAATTAAGGGCTGGGATGTAGCTCACTCCATGAGCACTTGCCTTGCGCATGTGAGGCCCTGGGTTCAATCCCCAGTGCAGAACAAAAGTCAAAAACACAGCACAGCCACAGGCCACCCCTGAACCACCTCTGAACTGCCAAGCTGATAAACGCTGCTCACGTAGACAGCACTGGGCTGGACACCCCCACTCTGCGAGGCCGCCAGGGACACACGCCAAACTCACCACCCACCCACCTGCCGAGTGCCCACACCCACCCCAGCCCAGGGACTGACCTGGGCAGGCAGAGGTCAGCATGGGCAGCACACGCCGTTCCTCGTTGTGCTGATGGAACCGACGCACAAACTCTTTCTGGCTCTCCAGGATGCTCAGGTCCGCAGCTATGGAGGTGTCGAACACGTAGTGCACCCCTGTAGGAGAGAGGGGCGCTGTCTCCACCCATGGGGACCAGGGTCTGCCCGAGCCACAAGGGCCACAAGTCTTGGCTCGTCTCTAACTAAGGGCCAGTTCAGGACCGAGGATTTTAATTTTTTTTTTTAAATAAGCATACCTCACTTTTACAATACAACACATACAACAGGTGTCTCCTGCGTCTCCCTTTCTGTACGTCTATGTTAGTAGAACTATCTTACAGCACTCCATGTGTAAGCCCACGGGACATCATAAGATACGTAAAGCATTCTCTTCCAACTCAGTGGCACATTACAATTTCAGTCTGGCCAGGCACAGTGGCTCATGCCTGTAATCCCAGCAGCTTGGGAAGCTGAGGCAGGAAGATCTCGAGTTCAAAGCCAGTCTCAGCAATGGTGAGGCACTAAGAAACTCAGTGAGACCCTTTGTCTAATAAAATATAAAAATTGGGCTGGGGATGTGGCTTAGTGGTTGAGTGCCCCTGAGTTCAATCCCCAGTACCCAAAAAATACATAAATATTATGAAATTCAAATTTTTACTTTAGAAGAAACCAGTTTTCTTTGTTAAGATCTAACAGTTACACACTGACAAGCCTCCACACCACACTCCAGAGCACCGACAGCTCTGCTCTTGTTTCGTCTGGTGGGCAAGGCCAGCCTGAGCTCCCGGGGACTGGCCGTGTACAGGAGCACCTGGATGAGTTCACATGTGGCTGCTGGGTCTCGGCTGCAGCTCTTAGGCCCTAAATCACCTGCCAGGAGAAACCACCACTCACCAAGAACACCAAGGAGGAATGTGGCCAGAAGCTGCTGCTCAGCCCTCAGACTGCCTGCGGATGCTGTTCCGAGGGTCTTGTGACAACTGTCCCACCCTACGCGTACTCTTTACAAAGCCCTGTCTGGCCAATGACACAGCTCTCCTCTGTCCCTCTGCCCGCCTGCTGGCTGCCATGCCAAGAGGATGCTCAGGGCTCTGTGACACCACCACGCAAGGACCGGGCAAACAGCCACTCGGGAGCCCTGTGGCCATGCCAGGAGCAGCTCCAAGTCTCAGCAGTCTTAGTTCCCTTTTGACATTTTCCATCTTGACTGTACTCTCTTTTTTGGTACTGAGGGCTGCTTTACCATGAGCTACATTCCCAGTCCCTTCTAATTTTTTTTTTTTTCTGGTATCGGAAATTAAACTCAGGGGCACTCAACCACTGAGTCACATCCCCAGCCCTATTTTGAATTTTATTTAGAGTCAGGGTCTTGCTGAGTTGCTTAGTATCTTGGTGTTGCTGAGGCTGACTTTGAACTTACAATTTTTCTCCTGCTCAGCCTCTGAAGCCACTGGGATTACAGGCATGTGCCACCATGCCCAGCTACATTTCACTTTTTAAAATTTACACCCACAGTCTCTTTATTATTTTTCATTTTGAGATGGGCTGGCTAAGTTGTCCAGGTTGGCCTTGAACTTGTGACCCTCCTGCCTCAGCATCCAGAGGAGCTGGGATTGCCAGCATGGCCCCTGAGCTGGCTTGATTCTATTCTTAAACTACCACCTATCACTCCTCACATAAAGAATACCTGCTTAGGGGTGGGACTGTAGCTCAGTGGTAGAGAGCCAGCCTAGCATGTCTGAGGCACTGGGCACCACATAAATAAATACAATAAAGGTATTGTGTCCATCTGCAACTAAGAGAAAAAGGACACCTGCTACTCCTTTCTTGGGAAATCGGGCACTCATCATTTCAGACGCTTCTCCATCCAAACGCCTTCCCTGAGCTGGGGCGGCATGGAGGCTGCTGGCAAGGGTGGGGGCCTCCCACACACTCCTGTCCACAGTGCCAGCAGGCACTCGCGTCTAGCTCCAGAGGGATCAGCCCTTCCTGCAACAAACACCCGTCCATGCAGACCAGAGGTTAAGAAGCACCGCCTGCCATAGGTCGAGGCGAGCCGGTCTCCAGCCTCTTGACACACAGGGCAGGGTCGTTTTACATTCCATGAGGTGCTCCTGGAAGGGGCCCTCCATGACCTCCAGTTTTAAACCACAATATTACCCAAGGTGACTCACCAAGACTTTTGAGGAAGCCACAGAGTCTTCTGGATGCATCAGTGACACTGAGGTTGAATTTAGCAGCAAAATAAGGCAAAGACTGAGGACACACAGACACTACCAGCACTCTGTGCTTTGAGGTATCGCATCTCTACAAGAGAACAGAGTGGTGTCACCTCCATGAAGGGCAAGCTGGACACCTTCAGGAAAGACTCAGCACAAACAGAATGCAACACAGGTTCCATGCAGACTGTACGCTAGACAAGCGCTGGCAAGCGTGGCTCGGAGAAGGGCATCAGGACAAAACAAGACAATTCACAACACTGGCCCTTAAGTCACAGAAGTCACCAGGTAACAATAAAAATGGATATGAACTTAAATGACTGTCCAAAGGTCAGGCTCCTAGAAACCATCAGGCTAGGTCATTCAGTGGCACACTTCAGCCACTAAAAATTTTAAGTCTGGAGAAAACTGACAAATTGTCCCTTACAAACTATTCTAGAAAATTTTGACTAGCTGGGCTTTGTGGCCACACCAATAATTCCAGTGACTCGGGAAGCTGAGGCAGAAGGATCACAAACTCGAGGCCAGCCTCAGCAACTTAGTAAGACCTTAAGCAACTCATTGAGATACTGTCCCAAAATAAAAGTTAAAATAAGCTGGGGCTGGGGCTTAGTGGTTAAGTGCCCCTGGATTCAAACCCTGGCACCAAATAAATAAGTAAACTAACTATATACGTGCATTCCTTAGTAAGAAAGGCTTTCTTCAAAATGCAAATTAAAATAGTAAGAAACAGATTGGCATAAGCAGTTCAGGGAAATCCCTGGGGAACCACCAGAGCCATCAGACTGAGCCCAGCCTACAACAGCCCTGGAAGCGTCTGCAGCGTGTCACCAAGTGTGAGTGCTGGCCGCACACCGAGCACAGCAGAGCCCAGCCCCCACTCGCTTCACATAGCCCCCAGGCACCTGGAACTAGCTCGCCTCTGGACTTCTCCATCAGCGGGACCCCCATGTCAGGGTTTGTCACAGCAGCGGAATGCAGTTTTGAAGTATTATAGAATATAAACAAGCAATATAACTGTGACTTGCCAATAAACATACCAAATATCTCCAGCTGAATAATCAGGAGAAAACAGGGACACCTACCCCTCAGGGTGAACTGCGCCCTCGACACCACAGTCATCCCTCTGCATCACGTGTGGGAGTACCAGGGGTACAGGCACTTGTAAGGGCATTTGCAAAACCTACACATGCCACAGAATTAGAAGTCTAACCGATCTGTGGAGCATCCCCGACTCTAGTTCAGCGCCATGGAATGGCTAACGCCACTCTGTTCCCTGACAGGATGAGGCTGAGCAGGTGGAATCAGCTTACAGAGTGTGGTGGGCAGCATGGGGGTGCTATTCAGAACACCCCAGCTGGGCGCCAGCAGCGTGCCTTGGACCCCGGGAAGACTGCACACCAGGAAGGGCACACAGGGCACAGCTGAGGCTGACAACAGAGAGACTGTATTTCCACCGAAAACTGGAACCTAAAAGGGTGGATGACTTGTCCAGGAAAATGCCAGAGGGCTGGGGATGTGGCTCAAGCGGTAGTGTGCTCGCCTGGCATGCGTGCGGCCCGGGTTCGATCCTCAGCACCACATACAAACAACGATGTTGTGTCCGCCAAAAACTAAAAAATAAATATTAAAAAATTCTCTCCCCTCCCTCTCTCCCTCCCTCCCTCTCTCTCTTTAAAAAAAAAAAAAGAAAGAAAGAAAAGAAAAAGAAAATGCCCAAGTGTGAGGCTGGGCACCTGAGGTGTCCTGGTGCTGCCCAGCACAAGCACTCACGTGAGCCAGCATTCCGGGTGGGGCACTCTGTGGCAGATCACTTGCCTACCACGCGACAGGCCCCGGATTCCATCCCTAGAACCCCTCAAAAGTAAACAAAAACCCAAAGATTTTCAAGGCTCTTAAGCACACTGACTACTGACTACATCAGAGAAAAGACCTACCCGACTCTGTCATGTGGGTCAGGGCACAATACCTGGGCAGGGTGGGACACACACACACCTCTGTGACAGATTATGCCAACTCTCTGGGTGCTGTAAATCAAGACCCCAACAACCCCCCCTCAACTCAGTTCTCTTTCCCTTTTATTCACCTTGTTGAAAGATAGTGGCGCCTGGTAGTTCTGTACAGGAGGTCCAGGGCACATGCTGAAGGAGGATTTGGGATCCATCACCCGTCCCTGGAGCCCCAGCCTGCCCAAGTCGCACAAGACCATGAGCACCCAAGCCTATCTCTGAGACTCAGACCTGTCTGCTGGACCTCACTAGGCTGTGGCCGCCCTTCCAGCCAGGAGATGAATGTGTGCTGCCAGCCACTCTCCCAGGGTCGGCAGAGGAGTCTGTGCCGGGGTTTTACTCCCCATGGAAGGGCTTAGGGCAAGGCAGACTACAGCAGGGAACAGGAACTTCATGACACCAGGAAAGGCAGAGATGCCCCAGGAAAGGCAGAGATGTCCCAGCAAAGGGTTCCACGTACACAGAGAACAGACTTCAGCTCCCCCTTGACCCACCACCCCCAGGTCAGCTCCGCAGGCACAGTGACAGCATGCGCTCTGAACATCATACCTTATTAAGGTTCAGAACGCGGAAGAACTCCTTGGTGCTCTGCTGAGACAGCTGGGCTCCTTCCTCTGCAGTCAAGCAGCTGTCGCACGCCAGGCAATCACTCAGAAATATCTTGGAATCAGCTAACCTATGGAACTCTCCCTTCTGGAAGAAAAGCGTCAGTTTTGCATTAACAAGTGCTTCTTTAGGGAGGGTAATGGCATAAACACAATACCCAGAACTCATGCTAGGCGGGGAGACAATGGCAGGGCAAGGCCAGTAATTGGCAGCAAGCCCACGATGACAGTCACAGATGGAACCAACCCCAGCACAGTCACACGCGGAAAGAAGATGATACTCCTATGTGCTGTGAGCTGGCCAAGTGGGTCCTTCCCCCATACCCTTCCTCTGCAGCACCTGTGTCCCAGCCACTGGCTTCCCTGCCTGGCTCCCCGCTCCATGCCTCCTGAGCTCACCTGTCCCATGGCTCCCATGGGTGCCCTGGCTTATCTCCAGGCTCATAATTTGTACAACTCACTGCTAGTTCTGGGGGTCTCTGGGTCCTCAAACCATCCTGGAATGGGCTGCTGGTGTGCAGACCTGCCCCATCCCCACCTCCAGAGTGACTGCTCACCTGGATGCAGAGAGTGTAGACAGAACTTCAACCCATGCCACCCCTCTGTCCTCTCCTTCCTGACTGGCCTCTATACCTCCCCCTGGCCCTCTGCAGCCTCCAGAGAGATCTGTTAGAACATAAAGCACGTCTTCACTCTGCTTGGAGCCCCCAACAATAGACCCTCACATGGGAGGCCACATGAGCCCTCCTTTGCCCTGGTCCCTGCCACGCTGGCCCTGGCTGTTCTTGTGTCCCTATGCAAGGCTCACCTGACAAGTTCCCCTCACAGAGAGGGTGTTCCCACACCTGTTTTCTTTGCACCAACTACAAGCATTAATGTTTATCCCACCTTGGTGAGCTCTGGGAAGGTGCAGCTTTGTCACGATCCTTCTGTTCCCCGCACCTCTACTGCATACAGAAGGTGCTCAGTAAATATTTGGTGGATGAATATATGAAAATGCTGAGCCAACAGAATCATTTTAGTCAGTAATAAAAGCTCTGGAGGGCATCTATCCATTCTTTTTTTTTTTTTTTTTTTGCTGTTGTAGATGGACAGAATGTCTTTATTTTATTTATTTTCATGTGGTGCTGAGTATGGAACCCGGTGCTTCCCACATGCTAGGCAAGCGCTCTGCTGCTGAGCTATAGCCCCAGTCCTATGAAGTTTTTTCTTTAAAACATGATTTGACAGGCTTCGGTGCTCCCCCGTCCTTTGACAGCACACCCTCTAAGGGAGCTCAGGTGGTGGCCAAGTGTCCCTGTGCAGCCTGCTCATCCTGGGGTTTTGCTCTTGCAGATGCAGATCCAGGAGGTCAAATGTCATCAGGAACTGGTATTTTAATAAGGTACCAGATGGAGCCTGCGACTCACAGCAAGAGTCTGGCACCTACATGATCGTGTGGAGAGCACTGAGTTCTATCTGCACAGCCCACAGGTCATCTAAGGAGATGCCCATCACCACCCTGATCACAAAACAGATCCCTGCAAGCTTCAGGGTCCACCCTTCATCTTCCTTCCTCCTCGCCCCCTCCTTCTGTAGCTGTGGAATTGCAAGAGCCCTCTTCCATTTATCTCATTACTGACAATGCTGCAACTTCACCTCCAGCATGCACCCACTCCCCAGCCCAGATTGGGGTCCTCTGGTTCCTCTGCCACTTGGCATGGCTCACTCAGGCCTGCACAGCTGCCTACGTGGCTTCCATCATTGACTGTGGCTGCTGCATCCATTACCTGCCCTAAAAACAATCTGAGACGTCCCCCTTACTTGAAGAACCCCAGTGGCTTCTTCACGGCCATCAACCTGAACCAGGGGGGCTCTGCCCCTGCTCAGACCTCTCCTGTTCATACCCCCAACACTCTTACCAGCTCCTCTCATCCTAGCAGTGTGCCCATTGCTGAGCTGGTAGGCACATGTGTTATCTCACCCTCACCGGAGCCCTGGGAAGCCAGTGACCCAACTCGCCACAACCAGATAAAGAACGGGGCCTCACGGGGGTTAGGTTTTTGTGCAGGGTGATGCAACCTAGGGCAGGCCTGGGAGAAGGCCCCAGGCCTGGCTGCTCCAGAGCTCTGGCCCCAACTGGCCCAAGGCTCCAGGTGCTCACTGCCTATTTTCTGCCCCGCTGCTTCCTAGGCCTAGCCTCCACTGCATAGCACCAGCACACAGGCGAACCAAATTAATGACCATCAGACCAACAGCATATCAGAACTAGTGAACCTAACAAGAAAGATCCTCCACCTGCTCTTCCCATGTTGCCAGTTCTCCACTTACAAAATAGGCTCCAGCATTCTGGTTTTTCTTTATGTCACTGAATTGCATCCCTATTCCTTTTTTAGAGACAGGGTTTTGCTAAGTTGCAGAGGCTGCCCTTGAATTTGTGATACTCCAGCCCCAGCCTCCAGAGTAGCTGGGATTATAGGTGTGCACCACCATGCCCATTGATTCCAGTATTTTCCTATAAAAGACATGACCTTAATCTACCAGCATCATGTCCTTCCCTGTAACCCGGGAACATTGGTAGGACTTACTTGAAATGCTCATTCTGAGCATGAAATGACACAGATAAAGCTCATCTCAGGCTGGGTAGATGGCACTTGCCTATAATCCTCGAACTTGGGAGGCTGAGGCAGGAGGATCACAAGTTTGAGGCCAGCCCAGAAAATTTTGAGACCTTGTCTCAAAAAAAAAAAAAAAACAAAAAAAAGAGGTGGGGATGTAGCTCAGTGATAGAGTAAAAGTGGATTCAATCCCAGTACTGAAGGAAAAAAAAAAGAGCCCGGCTCAGGGGGTGTATCAAATAAACATGACTAAAGAGAATTAAAAAATAAGAACTAAATTAGAAAAGAAACCATGTAAAAATTAAATCTATATAATCATCATGAAATTTGGGTTACCTTATAAATGTCCTATCTCAACTATTGTTTTTTAAAAAAAAAATTTTGGTGGGGGAGGATCCTGGGGATTGAACCCAGGAGTGCTCTACCACTAAACCACATCCCCACTCCATTTTATTTATTTATTTACTTGGGGTGTGTATTGGGGATTTAACCCAGAGGCACTTTACCACTGACCTATGTCCCCCAGGCCTTTTTATTTTGAGACAAGGTTCTCCCTAAGTTGCTGAGGCTGTTCTCAAACTTGAGATCCTCCTACCTTAACCTCAGTGCCCACAGCTCAATTCTCATTTTAATGGAAATTTCCATTAAAAAAGAGTTGAGATTTAAATATCAGAGCATTATTTATTTATCCCTAGTGCAGTGTTTTGGCTTGGTATGTTTGAGAAGATAGGCTGTGTGGAAAGAGAGACTTTCCTGCACAAGGCTGTTAGCACCTTCAACTTTACTTCAGTCTTTCTTAGAGCAATGATATGCATGGTGACATGAACCTCAAACAGAGAAAAACAGCACCAGCCACTTACTTTAGGCTGATACAAAACTAAAAAGTCTATACTTACTTCTCCATTCTCCCGGGCTGGACTTGGTGCATCAACTGACACATTCTCTTGGTCATCTGTTTTTGTTTTTTTACTACATTCCTTAAAAAAACGCAAAAGAATATTTTTTTTTAGTTTTTTTTTTTAATTTTTTTTTTTTTAGTTGTCAATAGACCTTTATTTATTTGCTTGTGGTCTGAGAATTGAACTCAGTGCCTCACACCTACTAGGCAAGTACTCTACCACTGTGCTACAACCCCAGCCCAAGGATATTGTTAAAGAACAATTTTTAACCTGATTCTCTCCATTAAATAACAAAAAAAAAAAAAACAAAAAAACACATACCTGACCAACTAACCTCATGTCCAGAAATCTTTTTTTGAGAAGAAAAGCAACTGTTCTTCAGGATGCCACACACACACACACACTCTCTCTCTCTCTCTCTCTCTCTCTCTCTGTCCTTCAACAACACTGTCTGCAGTAACTAGGCACTACAAATGAGGTGGACTTCCAGGCTGCCTTACCTGGAACAGATGTGATGTAACCATTACAAAGAACCTCTCTCAATTCTGTGAGAGAATGTCTCCCACAAAGCATTAAAAAGAAAAGTTATACCTAGTATTTATGATGTGATATAATTTTTAAGCAAACAACGGGGCTGGGGTTATGGCTCAGCGGTAGGGCGCTCACCTTGCATGTGTGAGGCTCTGGGTTCGATCCTCAGCACCACATAAAAAATAAATAAATAAAAGTATCAAAAAATCTGATTAAAAAAAGAAAACAAAAACCCTTGCACACGCACTGCATGGTTGTTACAGGGGATGCAAGGGTAGAGGACCACTGTCAAATTACACAGCAGAGAGGAGTGCCCGCCCTTGTTTCCCTCTCCACTTTTTTTTTTTAAAATATCTATTTTTAAGTGATTTTTATGTGGTGCTGAGGACCCAACCCAGTGCCTCACATGTGCTTGGCAAGTGCTCCACCGCTGAGTTTCGACTTTCAGCCCCTCTCTCCCCACTTCTGAACTGTTTAAAGTATGCAAGTTTAAAAGTTTATGAGCCAGCCGTAGCATTTGTGCTCTCGGGCAGAACCGCGACTGGCACAAGGACTGAGGGCCCCAGCCTCCACCGCCAGACCCGCGATGCGCTCGCCCGCAGCGACCACCACCTGCGACCCGCGGGCTCAGCCACACAGCCACCCGCGGACTACCAGAGCTGACAGGTGTCGGCAAGCCGCACCCGGCGAGCGGACGGCCGGGCCTTGACCTCCGACCTCCAGCCTCGACATCCATTCGCCACCCTCAGACCCCGCCCACATCCCAGATCTGTCCCGGACCTCCGACCCCAGCTTTGACCACGCCGGGTGCGGCGCCCACCTTCCGCGTGCAGTGCTCACACTTCATCTGGAGCTTGACAGGAGAGAGGCTGGGCGCCTGGGCAAAGCGTAGCACCGATCACACAGACACCTCCGCCCGCCACCCGCAGCCCTTTGTTGTCTTTGCTCTGGCAAGGCCACACCCCTAAGGGCTGCGTGCGGCCAATGAGAGCACCGAGACAGAGAGAGCCACACCCCTCGGCCAATTAGGAGCGTGAGGAGGACGGTTCGGCCCCCAGACCTATTGCGCGGCCTAGGCCAATCAGAGGGGCAGAAAGGGGCGGGCCCTTTCACAGAGCCAATCAGAGGGTGGAAAGGGGCTTAGTCGCCCCTTCCGATCCTCAGCGGCCCTGGTCGGGTCTCCCCCGAGCTTCTGTTTCTGCTGGGCGTGGGGCAATGACTAAGCCACGTTTATGAGGGCGAAAGGATAACGCGAGGGCGGTCCGGAGGAAGGCGAGATGGGGCAGTTCCAGGACCCTCCAGCTCCATCAGCTCAGCTTCGGATGCTCCCCCCCCCACCCGTGGCTCCTTTTGGGCGGAGACGGGACCGCCATGGCCACCCTGCAGTTCGTCACGTAGACCTTGCGAGGGGGTGGTGCGCATGCGCTGTGGGTTGGACCACGTGGGCGGGGTCTGGGAGCTGAAAGTCGGTGTTCAAAGGAGGCTGTTGGTCCCTGGGTCTCGTCACTGCAGGGAGTTTTGTTTTTGCTGTCAGAGAATGAACCCAGGAGTGCCTAACCAGCCCTTTTTATTTTTATTTTGAGGCAGGGTATGGTTGCTTAGGTCCTTGGTGAGTTGCCGAGACTGACCTTGAACCCGAGATCCTCCCACCTCAGCCTTTCTAGTCGCTGGGGTCCATCACTAGCATGTGCCAGCGCTCCTGGCCAAGGGTATGGCTATTGGTATCCAGCCCTTAGGCTTCGCGTAATTAAGAACAGTTTTTGTTCCTCCAAGAAATTGGTTCCTGCGGAGCAAAACTCATTTGTACTTATAATGTGCAGGGCTACGTGGAAACATTGGACTTTTTAATTACAAACATGCTGGGTACAGAATAAGAAATGAAAAACCTAGTCAGGCACGGTGACACGCAAGCAGGAGAATTGCAAGTTCGAGGCCAACCTCAATAACTTATCTAAATTCTGTATCAAAATAAAAATAAAAAGGGCTGAGGATGTAGCTTAGTAGTATAGCCGCCTTGGGCTTGCTTTACACAAATCTTCCTTTCACGTGGTAAGTGCTTGGTATCACATGAAGTACACAAGCCTCCTAGGAACAGCCAGAGCTCCACTGTTTGTTATGTAGCTTTGAAGTGGTACAAGCACACCGTTTACCTTGTGAATATTTTTGCTGTAATAAGAATTGGAAGCTCATTCTCTGTTCCCTTGCAGAGTGTGGCCTCAGTTCAGACCCACTGAGAACTTCATGACCTCCTTCTACCCCGCAGAAATGTTACAGCAAACCTTATCCTTGTATGCCATATATGAGTTACTGACCCCAACACTGGACTTTCACATGCATATTCTGAAGGCTCAGGCTGGGAAAACCCTGGAGCTCCGAAGCCCCTCCTTCCAGGTCTTGTAACCATGGTACACTTTATGCTTTGAATATAGCCCTTGCCACTCTACCGCTGCAACTTAGAAATTTTTTAAAATATTTTTTTTAGTTGTAGATGGACACAATACCTTTATTTATTTATTTTTATGTGGTCCTAAGGATTGAACCCAATGTCTCATACCTGAGAGGCAAGTTTTCTGTCACTGAGCCACAATCCCAGCCTACAACTTATTTTTTAAAGGGACTTTTTTTATTCTCTAACAGCCCCCATTCTCCTCCTACCTAATCTCTCCCCCTCCCTAGTCTTCAGAAAACAGGATTGCCTTCCTTTTCCATCCTGGGCAGAGTTATCTGTCCTTGAGCATGCATCCATGACAGGAACTAAGTAATTCAGACTTGGGGATGGTACCAGAAGAGCTCAGAAATTACTATCTCCCAAATTAACAAGTGAATTACAACTCCAGACGGGAGAAAAAAAAAACAACGTGGAATATGGTCTTTAAAAGCCCCTGCTTCCCCTGATGGGTAGAATTACAGCATCTGGGATAGGAGTTCCCCTGTTTCTCCCTTGCTAGTGTTATGCCAGATTCGTGGGACCCCAAAAGAACTCCAGGAGCTGAATCCAATGCAATCACACAAAAGTCTTCATTGCAAGCTTGAGCCTGAACTCACAACCGTTCCCGACGCAGTAGTCCCAGGGAGTGAGTCCCAGTCCTTTGTTCAGTGAGATTTTATAGGTTTTGGGGGGATACTCTATGCATCAAAACCACACAGCAAATCATTCCATACCACGGAAAGTCAAACAACAACTCTTTAACATTGGTTAGCACATTCAATGGCGGGAACAAGTTGGGTAGGGGTGATTGGTTAGTACAAGAAGGGTATTTCTTTGAACTGATGGGCTTAGGCCACGAGGGGAGTACGTGCTAAACGACATGGTTTCCCAACATGTTATCAACCACCATAAACTACTGGGGGGTCATCTGGCATTCCAGGTATTTTCCCTGTCTCATGCTGATTGGAGGTTGCTAGGGGGGTTCCTATGGGTCCTCATCTAGCCTAACTGAGTCAGGGACACCTGGCACCCCAAATCTCTCCTGTTATTTGTAGATAACTCAGCAGGGTAGATATGTGCTTAGGAGTGCTCTGTGGGTTTTTCCCAGGACAAGGGTCATGCCCCCTTCCTTAGGACAGTTCTTGAGATAGAAGCTGCTATTATTTATTTTTTTAAATGGAGTCACGTCAGTTTCTCACTTGCAAAGCAATAAAAGGTCTCCTTTTTCTCAAAACCATGTCCTTGTTATTGGGTTGGCATTAGGGACAAGGCCTGAACTTTTGGAAAAAGCCAAGTTCACCTAGAACCGCTCTAAATTGGACTTCACCTTCTACAGGTTGTTGTGATGGGCAAAAGGTTCGACTTATGCAGTCGAGGAGAAATAAAGAATGTCCATGTGCTTTTGCCCTTTTCAATGCTTTATTCACTCAAAACAATACAATTTCACTCTACAGGTTAATCAAGAAAATGACAATCCTTAATGCTAAGCACTGCAATACACATGATCAATTCACAAGAAACAATTCTAGATTAATTCTAAGCACTGCAAACGCCCTTAATCATGACAAGCTAATGACAGACATTCCCACTGCATGCCAGTTCAAGTATCAGATCAAAAGTCTCAAGCCTTAGGCTTTAAGTCCAGCAGATGCACATTCACTCTGACCACAGTGATCAGGTCAGGAACCAAGTCAGGCTTCTCCTGGGGTGGAGCTGACAGCCAGCTGAGGAGAGGGTCCTAAGGAGAAGTTGCTGTTGTCACCAGGGTCAAGATGTGGCTGTAGGGCTGGGGTTATGGCTCAGTGGTAGAGCACTTGCCTAGCATGTGTGAGGCACTGGGTTCAAACCTAAGCACCACATACAAATAAATAAACAAAATAAAGGCATTGTGTCCATGTGCAAGAAAAAAAATTAAA